GAGAGAGAGAGAGAGAGAGAGAGAGAGAGAGAGAGAGAGAGATCTGTCTTCCTCTTGTTATAGGGACCTAATCTAAACCCAATTACTTCTCAGTGGCCTACTTCCAAATGCCATCATATCAGAGTTAGGGCTTCAACATAGGAATTTGAAGGAAAACAGACACTCAGGGCATAACAGTTTCTTTCAGCAGTATTGGAAGGTGTTCATTCTCAGAGACGCTCTATCTTTGTAAAAGTCCTGTGCCACGCAGACATTTAACAGCAGTGGCCCTGAGAGTTTCCCCATACCTTACAGGAAGAAGGAACTAAACCCTGGTTCATAGGACTTAACAACAAAGCCCATCAAATAGCCCTCCACTCTCAGAAAGTTGCCACTGTTTTCTGCAGGCATCTTGCCAAGTCTATTCTCCAGCCTTAGAAAGTGCTGTCCAGGGCACAAGTCGGCCACTGAGGATAATTACTTTCCCTTATCTCCCCCTCTCTTTTATCTACAAGACATTCTTTAAAAAGGGGTGGGAAATTAAATGTATGAATACAGTAATTTCCAGAACAGACCCGGAAACACATTCTTATTAGCTATGTAAGGGTTTAAGAATAGGGGCACATCTGGATAGTCGGGCTGGTAGAGTTGAGTGGAGAACAAAAAGAATTATCGCCAGAAGTATAAGACTGGGACAGTTTTCTTGGAAATGCAGAAGTGTTCGAAATATTGCTTTGGGGCAAGGAAATTTTACTCTGCACTAACTCACTGATTATTAATCAAAAAATATTTTTCTTGCCCAAATTTATTATCGGTAATGCTCCTCTTCCATGTGCATCCATCAAGTTATTATTCTTCAGGGGCTCCCCAGTGTAGGTTAGGTTGTCGCTCCCTCTACAGTGAGATGCTCTGTCTAGCCTCTTCTCTATTCACATAAACCCACCACTCCAGCCTCTGTTCTAGCTTCAGAACATGGCGAAAGGAATTGGCATTGTGGATGAGGTATCACTCTGTGTATTGGCTTTTCCCTGTTAATAGCTCCGGCTTTAACAAGTTTATCAGTCCCGCTTGCTTTACAAATATGTTAAAAACCGGAACTGTGGTTCTAAAGGCTCCAAGGTAAATAAGACAAGCATTGCCACCTCGAACGTTTCCTTCTTACAATAAATCTGAGTTCAAAGAAGCTACAGAATTCAGAGGCGTGCTTCTTGTGTGCAATTCAATTGGACAAACATTTATGGTTAAAAATTCCTTGAACTCTCCCTTCTTGATACAGTGAGTTCTTTATGGAAGGGAGAGTTGAACCCCCCACACTGAAGTGTTTCCAGCTGAGGTTATCAAAGGTTATCCCATAGGACTAAAGAGTTGGGGGAAATCTCTATTCCAGTTAGATAGTTTTCCTCCCCGGCCTGCCTTTTTATTTATTTATTTTTCACTACCTCCGAGTATCCAAAGAACAGCTCTGTAAAATAAAAGAACAGTGCATTCAGAACATTTCCTCATCTTGTTCAATCATTTGGTGCTACTGCAATCCACATTGCCTAAGGTCCCATCAGTCAGCGACAGTCACCCAGGCTCCGTCGCCCACTGACTTGATTGAGTCTGGTTTGCATTATAGACGGAGGAAGTAAGAACTCTCTCAGAAGGGGCAGCAATTCCTAGGTGGGTAGACAATACTTCCATGCCTGTGCGACTGTCACCAGTGTGCTCGGACACTTGCATTGCTCAAAAATAAGCAGCTCATTGAAAACTTCCATTCAGATAGCTGCCCTGGGGCTCCTAGGGGTTGCTCGGGTGGTGGAGAAGGCCCGAGATTGTGTAGTGAAGACATTCAGAGGAATTTTGAACAGAGATAGCGTCATGGAAAGTCAATGAACAAGGGAGTTACTCACAGCAGGTGATAGTGAGAGAAGCTATGGATATATGGTGTTTGGGGTTGAGGTATTGATGCAAGGTGTGGCCCCAGGGCTCTGGGTTTCCTGAAGCTCATCCTCGAGTCTCTAGGGATCGGTGGAGTCTGCGTTAAGACCTGCTGGTGACCCCTGCCTGAACAGGTAGAAAGCTGGTGTGGTTTAGACAAGTCAGAAAGGGGCACAGAAGGAAGGGGGGTAGTTTTGTTCTCTTCACACCAAAGAAAGGCTAAAGGGTGGGTTTGGGGGCCCTGGGAAGGTAGAGAGACTCAGATGACAGGAGGCCTTCTCAGAAAGACTCAGGAAGGACATCAGACTGTGACCCTAAAGGGGCCCCAGGTACCAGGGACCCGGTTCTGCACACATCTCATAAACTCACCCTGGGGTGAGGATTTCCTTCCTAAAGGTTTGCTGGGAAATAGAGTTCATTCCCCTGAAAAACAAAGCAAGACAAAAAATAAAACAAAATATGATTTGTTATCAGGGTGTCCCAATGCCATCCATAGTACTTTTAGTCTGTTTTTCTCCTCTTTTCCTTGGTGGAAAGTTCCAGTTGCTTCTTTGGATTACAGAGCCCGTATAGTGAGCCTGAGGTCAATTTTTTCCTGCACTTTACAAGGGGAATCCGAGCAGTGTCGGGCTTTATCCCGGAGCCCCCAGCCAGTGGTGGCTGCAGGCCTAACTCCAGCCCAGAGCTATTTCCACTGTGTCCTCCACCCGGCCCGGGTCAGACAGGTCCTACTTTCTGTGCTTGGGGTTTCCTCGCCTCGCTGGTACTTCCTCAGCCTCTGCCTGACAAGACCATCAACTATTTCACTACTTTCGACCTTTGGCCATTGTGCCAGCACCTGGAAGATGCTAAGATCTGTGACCTCTCTGAGACTCGGCTGTGAGGAACGCATTATCCCTCATGGGTAACCCCCCTGGCTACCCCAGAGCGGGGAGCAGGGGCACTCGTCTCCTGCTTCTTTGCAGGAAAGAACAGCCAATCTATCCGATTCCAGGGAACCGAGGAAATATGCCAAGGTACCTTGAACCCAGAATTGAAGAGGTCTAGAAGAGAAATTGCGCTCCAGAAGGAGAGGTGTGTGGAGACCCAGGAGCTGTTACTGGGAACTTCAAGCACACAGAAGCCAGAAGCCATCAGCGACAGACTAAGAACTTAAATTCCCTTGACGTATGTCCTGCTCCATCAGGACCCAAGGTCTGCTTGGGAAACAAGCCTCTTTCCACACCAGAACATGCAAGGGGGACTGTGGGTACCTATCCATAGCTAGGAGAAGGAGGCTCCGAGCTGGCTCCAAAGAGGATTACTAAGGGCCCATCCTGGTGGCGGTGGGGAGTAGAGCACAGGAGAGGAGAGGCTAGGAGAAGGAGGCTCCGAGCTGGCTCCAAAGAGGGTTACTAAGGGGTCATCCCAGTGGCGGTGGGGAATAGAGCATAGGAGAGGACACAGGCCTTGAGCTGTAGGGATTGCCACATCAGTGGAGAGGAACAGGGCTGACTTTGTGAGATTAGGAGGAGGCCCGTGTCCCACAAAGGGGACTTTAGGGCAAAACAAAAAAAAATTCCCTCCTGTAGCCACTCTCTGTGACATTGAGGAATCAATTCTCGTTCTAGGTCACTGGGCCTTCGCTGTAGTACTGGGATTTGGGCACTGCTTATTTATGGTGAGGGGCTTAAGTTCTCTTCTCTTCTCTTCTCTTCTCTTCTCTTCTCTTCTCTTCTCTTCTCTTCTCTTCTCTTCTCTTCTCTTCTCTTCTCTTCTCCCCTCCCCTCCCTCCCTCTCTTCTCTTCTCTTCTCTCCTCCCCTCTCCTCTCCTCTCCTCTCCTCTCCTCTTCTTTTCTCTTCTTCTCTTTTCTCTTCTCTTCTCTTCTCTTCTCTTCTCTTCTCTTCTCTTCTCTTCTCTTCTCTTCTCTTCTTCTCTTTTCTTTTCTTTCTGTTTTTTCTTTCTTTCTTTTTTAAAAATTAACTTTGGATGATAAAGGGGGATTTAGGACCAACTTCCAGGACTGGTGAAGAAACTTTCCCAAGTCTCTGTGTGTGATTGAAGGAAACTCAACAGGTGCAGGATCTGCTGGCTTCAGGAGTGGTACTGTGATACAGTTTTTTTCCAGATGAAAAGACCCCTTTATAACCCTCTTAACAGAGCCTCAGACCAGCAGGATTTGGGGGAGGGGGTCATGGGAAAAATCTTGTGAATCCACTATTGTCCCTAACTATGTGTATTTGGGGGAACTTGTAAAGGGAGGAGCTTCGTAAGAACTTCTTGGGGTTGGGCTTCATCTTCTGCCAATGATTTACTTGTCCCTGTGTTGCTGAGTTGGGAGGTGATTTATCAGAAAGTTTAACAGGAAAATTTTGCCATTTCCAAGACCTCAAATACTGGCCAACTTCAAGTTTATGGCTGGAAGGTAAGCTCTGATTCATTGGTTTTATATTTTCTAAGTTATATGGAATGTGACAAATAGACCTCCCCAAAATTGAGATCTCTGCTGTCCTGGAATTAGCTAGGGTTAGAGTTAGCATTTACAGCTAAGCTCTCTAACCTTTAGTTTGCTTCCTTGGTTCATTTTCTTACTAACTCTATTAGTTTTTCAGTAAGTTCTCTTGAATTTTTTGGACTGACAATCACATTTTATAACCTCTCTGAGTGTTTTCTAGTATTGCTAGCAAATATGCCTTTCTCTTGTTTCATTATATTGATTAGAATTGTTGGCATAATGTTGAAAGTAATTGTGATAATGGATACATTCCTATCATATTCCTGACCATAACAAAATGTTTTGTATTAAGTGTGATGATTGTTATATATTCTGGTAGACACTGTTGATCAGCTTTAGCAAGGTTCTTGTACTTTCTATTAATTTTATATTTTTTAAAGATTATTTTTCCTTGGGACCTGCAGTTGGTGTAATGGCTATATTGCTGGACTCCCATGTAGTTGACCGTGGTTCAAGTCTAGACCCGGTGGCTTAAACTCACGCTGGGTGCATGTGCGTGCGTGCCAAGATCCTGCGAGGAGAATGGAGGAGAAGGGATTGTGGCATGGCCATCCCCTCTGGGGGTGATTTCTCGCTTTCTGTCTCTCTGTCTCTTCCTGTCTTTCTGGTGAGTGCACACACCTTATAGCAAAAACCTCTAAAAAAACAAAAGATTATTTCTCCCATGAATGAGAGAGAGAGATGTGGAGACAGCACCTCTATCAGGTTCATGATGCCACAATCTACCCCCAGCCTAGTACTTTTTAAAAATTATAAATAAATGTCAAATATTAGCACATTCTTGGCATCATCTATTTAGTGAAAATGATCGTATAGCTTTTCTTTTTTAGTCTGTTAAGATAACACACTGTGAGACCAGCAGTTGGCATAATGGCTATGTTGTTGGACTCCCATGCAGTCAACTGTGGTTCGAGTCCCAGATCTGGTGGCTTAAACTCATGCCGGGCACGTGTGTGTGCGTGCCAAGATCCCGAGAGGAGAATGGAGGAGAAGGGATTGCGGCGTGGCCATCCCCCCTGGGAGGTGATTTCTCGCTTTCTGTCTGTCTCTCTGGAGAGCACACGTGCCCTATAGCAAGAACTCAAAAAAAGAAAAAAAAAAAGAAAAGATGATGCACTCCATTAATAATTTCCCATTAATGAACTCTTTTCCTATGCCGAATCATTCTTACTTTTAAGATAACCCTAACTGCTTATGGTGCATTTTTCTCTTTAGTACTGCAGGACTTGACCTGATCAGGTTTTATCCAAGACTTTTTTCCATCTAAGTTTGTAAGTGGTGTTCTTGTTCCCCTTCTTATGTGTCATCTTTTTCAGACTGTGTGAAGGTGATCCGTGGCTCTGCGTGCGGTTAAAGGACAGGTGTGGGGAGAGACATGGACGTGCTGAAGGGACTCCAGCTCTCCCTGTCGGTCATCCTGCTGCTGGCCTGCGGCTTCCTCTACCAGCTCAGCCTCAAGTCCAACCGCCTCTTCTCCTGCCTGCCTCCCTTCAAGTCCCAGCAGAGGCTGGAAGCCCTCCTGAGCCATGGACGCAGCATTGTCTTTCTGGAGACCTCAGAGAGAACAGACCCGCCTCCGATGGTCTCCTGTGCTGTGGAGTCTGCTGCCAAGATTTATCCGGGGCAGCCTGTAGCGTTTTTCATGAAAGGGCTCAACAACTCCACACAGCTGCCCTCAAATGCCACTCCTCCGGCCCTTTCTCTCCTCTCTGCAATAGACAATGTTTTCCTTTTCCCTTTGGATATGAGAACGCTGTTTGAAGACACTCCATTGTTTTCATGGTACACACGAGTAAGTGTTGAGGGGAGCTTAGAATGCCTGCGTTGGGAGGGACCACAGAAAATGGGTTCAGCCCAGAGCCTATTGAGTAAAGGAGCCGGATCTCGCATGACTGATGGTGGTTCGAATCCTGACCCTGGTGGCTTGAAAAACACAATGTCCTCTCTCTCTCTCCTCTCTCTCTCTCTCTCTCTCTCTCTCTGTGTGTGTGTACCCAGAATGCCAAGGGGCAGAAGAAATAGAAGAAAAGGAATTTCAGCCTGACCACATCCTATTGGGGGGTGCTTTTCCCCCCTCCATCTCTCTGACTCTCTCTCTCTGGTGAGTGCACATGCCCTCTGACAATTGAGAACAGGCAGGGGATGAGTTCAACTTAATCATGTTATAGACGTGTAAACTGAGAGTAAGGATTCAGTGTCAGAGACAGGACTAGAACTCAGATCTAGACTTTCGCCTGGCGCTCTTTCTACTGCGTTGAGTCTCAAGTAAATAGAAAAGACTTAAGTTAGGCTTGTCTTTTAGCCAGGTGTCTTTTGATTCCATTTTTTAAAAAATTATTTAATTTAACTTTATTTATTCATTCATTTATATTAATTTGACCACTGAGGGACACACACACACACACACACACACACACACACACACACAGAGAGAGAGAGAGAGAGAGAGAGAGAGAGCGAGCCACCAGGTCTGGGACTCAAACCATGGTTGAACATGTGGGAGTGTTCAGCGCCTTAATCACCACGCCACCTGCCAGTCCCTGCTTCCATTCTTATTTCTTTGAGGACCTAGGCTACTTTTGAGATGACTCTGTTTTGTTTTATTTAAAATTGCCACATCAGTAATTAGTGCTAATGACAGTACCTGAGCTATCTATACAAATGAAAGATTCTGGGTCAGTAGGCAGCATGGTGGTTGAAGTGCTGGACTATGGTTCAAGTCCTGGACCCAGCAGCTTGAAAATCATGCCAGGTGCCTGCATGTATGTGCTCAAAATCCTGAGAGGAGAATGGAGGAGAAGGTTTGCAGCATGGCCATCCCCCCTCAGGAGTGATTTCTCACTTTCTCTCTCTCTGTCTCTCTCCAGGGAGTGCCTGCATCCTATGGCAGAAACCTAAAAAATTAAAAAATAAAATAACAGAAGCAGAAACCTAAAAAATTAAAAAATAAAATATTCCATGATAGTAAGGTTCACAGGTACTGTTTCAGTTTAGTGATCCACAATGTCCATCTAAAACTGCAAATGTCTTCTTCACATGTGACTTGGACTTAGGATTTCAATCAAGTGTATTTTTTTAGAGTTATTTTATTTTATTTAACTTTATTTTAATTTGATCAGAGAGGGGCAGAGAGAGAGAGAGAGAGAGAGAGAGAGAGAGAGAAAGTGAGAAAGCAAGCCACCAGGTCAGGGACTTGAACCACAGTCAGCCATGTGGGAGTCCAGCGCCCTTAACCACCATACTACCTGCTGGTCCCTCAATCAAGTATATTTTATGAAACAAGAGTTGTGTCTGAAATAGCACTGTGATGTTACAAAGCCACCTAGAGGATAAAAAGAAAAACGTGACCACTGAGCATTGTCAGGGTTCGGATATTTGCCAGTGCACAGGAAGCCACAGCCAGGTGAGTGACTGAAGTGCGCGTTTCCCTCCTGAGCAACGCTGGCATTGGGTAGATACAGTCCGCGTTCTTTAATCTTACACACTTAGGAACCAATGCAACTTACCCGGTGAACGCACATAAAAGGAAACTCAACATCCCGAGGAAACCCCTAGCAACAATACACTGCATGTATTAGTATTTAGAAATAACTAGGGAAAGTAAACTCTGTGTTAGTTCTCGTGGTATCTATATGAACACAATCATTCCATTGGCAAGTTAAGGTTTTTTCCTTAGTAAAATCAATTCATATTTAGGAAAGCTACGGTCTCTCACTACTTTCATTCCTGGTTTGTTTTCTATAGTCAACTTTTAGGTTAATGTTTTCTTCCATATGAGGATACTTAGGTTCAGTATGTTAACTCCTCAAAAACAACATCGGTTTATAAAGCTGTTCATTAAAAGAAGAGTAAGACACGGCCTTTTGGGACAAGCAGGTGGCATGGTGGTTAAGACGCTGGACACTCCCACATGGCTGACCATGGTTTGAGTTCCAGACCTGGTGGCTTGCTTTCTCACTTTCCCTCTTTCTCTCTGTTTCCCTATCACTCTCTGTGTGTGTGTCTCTCTGGTCAAATTAAAAAATAATATTAATTAATAAATAAAATTCAATAAATAATTCTTAAAAAAAACCAAAAAAAAAAACAGAAACGGCCTTTCTCTGATAGACAAAAGCCACTCATGGAAGTAAGCAACTTAAGCCCCTCTGGTTCTACTTTAAAGCAAGTGAAGGATGGACAGAAATAAAACATTCATTAAAGTCACAATCAGAAAACTAGTCAAAACAAATCTCATTCTTCACTGTATTTTTACAGTTAAGACCAGAGAAAGAGAAACAGAGGGGAGCGGGGAGAAGGAAAAGCGCTCCTCATGGGGAGTGGTCGTACTGTAGTCCAGTCTCCTCCATGTTTCCGCCCTGTTGGGATTTGGAGAAGTCACACACATGCCCAGCTTTTCAAGCTGCCAGGACTGGGGTTTGAACCGTGGCTAGCCATGTGGGCTCTGGCTCCCTTAACCACTAGGCTCTGGGGCAAGTCTACTTTGAGACTTTTTTTCCTGGAGGGGGCACATGCACTGGAGAGAGAGAGGAAAGGAGAAGAGAACCCCCTCTACCACTACCACCAAGGGGAATGATCACGCAGTAATTCCTTCTTGGCTGTTTCGCCCTCCTTTTGGGATTTTGGGCACATGTGTCTGGTATGTTTTTCAAGCTGCCAGGTCTGAGGTGCAGAACATGAGGTCAGCCACGTGGGGTCCAGCTGCCTTCACCACCAGGCCCCTGAGCCGGCCTGAGATGATTCATAACTGAATGCATTTTTATAGCTTTTCTAAATGTCTAGCACACTTATTTATTCTTTTTTTACTAGTGTTAAATCCATGTTTAAAACCCATCTATGAGAAACTTTTTGGAGGTTTTTTTTGTTTGTTTGTTTTTTTGCTACAGGGCACATGTGCTCGCCAGAAAGACAGAGACAGAGACAGAAAGCGAGAAATCACCCCCCAGGAGGATGGTCACGCCGCAATCCCTTCTCCTCCATTCTCCTCTTGGGATCTTGGGCACGCATGCAAATGTGCCCGGCGTGAGTTTAAGCCACCGGGTCCAGGACTTGAACCGTAGTTGACTACATGAGAGTTCAGTGACATAGTCATTACGCTAACTGCTGGTCCTTCTATGTGAAACTTTTTGCATCCACAGCAGAAGCCAGGCAGTATTTAACATGAAAATGATGTCAGTAGAGAATTCATGAAGGATCAGTAGAATGCTAGTATATGAGACTGGGTTGTATTAGGTATGATTGAGAAACTCCTGGAGTTCATAGAAATTTTGTAACCCCTATCTTTGCAGCTTAGCATAATAGAGAGAAATAATATATTTTTTCTCTTAAAGAATGATTTCATTTAATTTTATTCATTGTCATTATTTTATTTTTTTCAAGTTGACCAGAGAGAGACAGACAGAAAAGGAAAATAAGAAAGCAAGCTGCCAGGTCTGGGACTTGAACTGTGGTCAGTCATGTGAGAGTCCAGCCACCTTAACCACCATGTTATCTGCTGGCCCCAGATATAGTATTTCAACTGAATATTTTTCTCAGAGGACCCATATTCAGATAATGATAAAGGACATTTAGTACAACCACCAGATGATTCCATTATGCAGGTTTTACCATTAAAAAAAATGTTTATTTATTTCTTCATAGAGAGAGACACCCCCTACAGAGTTTTCATGCCATCATCCAACTCAAGCCTTAGTCAGCCAGGGTCACAGGTATGTCCTCAACGTGTACAGGGAGACTTCAGGACATGAACCTAGGACCTTCCCATGTGGCTTTAGCATTGAAGAGTGTTGTGCTACCACCGTGCCACTGCGACTTGCTTAACTACAGTTTTTTTTTTTTTTTTTTAGAGATTTTTGTTATAGAGCACATGCACTCGCCAGAGAGACAGAGAGAGACAGAGAGAGACAGAGAGAAAGTGAGAAATCACCTTTTGGGGGTATGAACACATCACAATCCCTTCTCCTCTAGTCTCCTCTTGGGCTCTTGGGCATGCGCACACATGCTCCTGGTATAAATTGTAAGCCACCAGGTCTGGGACTCGAACTGTAGTTGCTTACGTGGGAGTCCAGTGATGTAACCATTGCGCCATCTACTGGCCCCTAACTATGGTATTTAAAAACTGATGTCTTATGGGGGGCCAGCAGCTGGCGTGGTGGTTAAAGTGCTGAATGTTCCCACATGGCTGATCACTGTTCGAGTCCCAGATCTGGTGGCTACCTTTCTCACTTTCCCTCTTTCTCTGTGACTCTCTCTGGTCAAACTAAAATGAATGAATGGATAAATAAAATAAAGTAAATAATTCTTTAAAAAAAAAAAACTGATGTCTTATGAAGACTATAACCTAATATGGAATTAACACACCCCAGTACATTATAATGTAATTATCCTAAGTATGATTTCAGCTGTGTAAAAACCATATATCTATTGTGGATAAAGACCCAAACAAACTACACAAGACACACAATAGTAGTGGATGCTTTGTGTGATTGATTAGGAGCAACTGCAGGCATGATAATTTGTTAATTTTATAAATAAAATTATTTAGAAAAACAAAAAGTAATTAAAAAATTGACATCGGAATAACCATATTTGCTTGCCAGATAAAGTCCTATCTAAATTCTAATCATAGGCTAGACTGAATATCAACAAACGCTTTTCTGTGAAGTGCCAGACAGTAAACATTTTAGGCTCACGGCCCAAATGGCAGACTCGAGGCTGCTGTATGAATACTTGTGGCCATACCCTGCAGCTGCTGTGACAGGTTATCACAAACTTCGTGACTTAAGGCAACAGACATTTGTTCTCTCCCAGTTCTGCGGCCCAGAGGTCCCAAATTAGTTTCGCTGGGCTGATACCCAGATGCCGGCAGGGCCCCATTCCCTCCAGAGGTTTTAGGGAACAACTGGTCCTTGCCTCTTGCCAGCTTCCGGTTGCTGCTGGCATTCCTCAGCCTGAAGTCCATCATGTCAATCTCTGCTACCATCTCCAAATTCTCTTTTCCTCTCCCTGTGTAAAATCTCCCTCTGTCTTTTTCTTCAAAGGACATGCACATGTGAGCTGGCTCTGCAGCACAGTGGGTAAGCTCTGTGCAGAGGAAGCTGGGAACCACATGGCTAACCAGGGTTTGAGTCCTAACTCTGGAGGCTTGAAAAACACGCCAAGCAAGCACTCATGCCTGAGATCCTGATGACTGGGGTGGAGAACCGGGAGAAAATGGAGTGTGTTGTGACCAGGCACTATTAGGGAGTGGGGAGAGGAGTGCCTTGCCACACCCTCCTATGCATGTACCCTCTTGCATTTAAAAAAAGGGGGGGGGACCAGCAGTTAGCGTAATGGCTATGTCGCTGGACTCCCACGTAGTCGACCGCGGTTCGTGTCCCGGACCCGGAGGCTTAAAACTCACGCCGGGCGCGTGTGCGTGCGTGCCCAAGATCCTGAGAGGAGAATGGAGGAGAAGGGATTGCGGCGTGACCATCCCCCTTGGGGGGTGATTTCTCGCTTTCTGTCTCTATGTCTCTCTCTGTCTGGCGAGCGCACGCGCCCTACAGTGAAAATCTCTCCAAAAAAAAAAAAAAAAGAAGGGGGGGACCAACAGATGGAGTACTGGTTACATCATTAGTTGACTGCAGTTCGAGTCCTGGACCCGTCGGCTTAAACTCACACCAGACACGAGTGCGTGTGTGCTCAAAATCTTGAGAGGAGAATGGAGAAGGGACTGCAGCATGGCTATTTCCCCTGGGGGGAGTGTCCAGCGCCTCAGCCACCATGCCACCTGCTGGTTCCGCCATGGCTATCATAAAGGAAGTAGTAAGTGGCATGCATCCATTTGAGAGTCTCCTATGGATTTCACAGGTAGCATAGCTTCCTACAGTTCGTTGGGACATCCTTTCAGGATTTGTTCTTTACCTGCTGCTTTACTTTCTCTTCTTTTTAAATGATTTCATGAAATCTTCAAAAACTGCTAAAATCTTTTCATTGATACTGATTGCTGTTAACCTTTTTCTTTTTTGGGGGGGGAGAGGTTTTTGCTATAGGGCACATGCACTCACCAGAAAGACAGAGAGAGAGA